ATATATATATATATATATATATATATATATATGTCTATATAGAAACTGAGCTCTGATAGCTTAGTGCCACTTGACTGCTAACCAGAAGGCTGGCGGTTCAAACCCACCAGCCACTCCTCAGAAGGAAGATGAGGCAATCTACTTCCATAGTGACACTGCCTCGGAAACCCAAACCCAAAGAGAGGTCGCTATAGTCGGGTCCAACTCGATGGCAGTGAGTTTGGTTTTGAATATAGAAACCAAAGATTATTAGTAGTTACCAGGGGTAGGAGGCAGGCAGAAAGGGGAAGGTTTTGTTTGGGGGGCATTGAGTTTAAGCCAATGGTGGTGGAATATTTTGGAAAAGGATAGCAATAATGGTGGCACAACATGAAAAATATCATCAATGTCTCTGAGCTACAAATGAGGAAGTTGTTAGGTTGGCGAATGTCTTGTTGTATATGTTCTCACCACAATAAAAAAAAAAAAAGAGTCACCAGCTCACTCGTCCCACCGGCAATTGCCAGCTGCCCAGCACACGCAGGAGGGGAAGGACAGACACTCGTCCTAGTCCCTGTGGAGGTGATGGGGGGCAGCCTCTGGAGGGCAGGATAGCCGATTGGGCACAACACTCTAAAGGCCCCTGTCCTTGACCTGCTAACTTGACTTTATGGGGCTTGTTGAAGACATGGTCAAGCATGTACAAGGCAGTGTGAGGGTCATCACAACAGTGTCAATTCTAGAAGCCACATATGGACACAAGACGGACTGGGTTAGATGGTGACCCCAAATTCACATCTACCCAGAACCTGTGAGTGTGGCCTCATTTGGAAACAGGGTCTTTGAAGATGTCATTAGTTAAGATGAGGTTATGCTGAAATAGGATAGGCTCTAAATCTAATGACTAGTATCCTTTTAAGAGGAACATCTGGACACAGGCACAGAGAGAAGGCCATGTGACAAAGGCAGAGACTGGAGTGATGAAGCCACAAGCCCAGGAACGCCTAGAGCCACCAGAAGCAGGAAGAGACGAGGAAGGAAGGAGTGCAGCCCTGTCGACACCTTGATTTCAGACTTCTGGACTCAGGCCTGTAAGAGAATAAACTCCTGACCTTTTGAGGCATGCAGTATGTGGTCTTTTGTTACAGCAGCAGGACACACATGACACCTTCAAAGGGGATAAGAAGGGTAATGGGCCACTCTACTGCAGAGAGCAGAGGCCATGTGCACCACAATTTGGGACAGGACCTATGGCCTGTGGCCCGGAGGATGCCAAAAGTTTGAGGCTGTACACACTATCCCTACATGGACAAAGGGTGCAGAAGTGTGTCTAGAAGGCCTGAGAGCTGAGTGGGCATGACCTCTGTGGACAAGGGAGAATGGCCTACACCCCTTCCTCACTATCTTTACCAGGAAAAACAGGCCTTGGAGAAGGGGAGACAGGGAGGTGATGAGCAGAGGGGCTGCTCATCAAAAAAAGTAGGAAGCACCAGCCAGAAGGGTCTCTACAGCCAGGCCAGACCCAGGGAACTAGGAACTCAGTGGCCATGGGGCCAGCCTGGGCTGCAGGTTGGAAGCAGGTGTGGGGCTGCCCTAAAGGCTGCAGGGTGGGGCAGGTAAGCTCTCCAGACCTCTGGGAGCACTGATCCCTAGGTGTGCTATCTGCATAGTCCCAGAAGGTAATGCCTCCCTGTGGGGACCAAGAGCCTGTGGTCCAGGCAGCACCAGGGTAAGGGGGTAGCACTTTCCTGTCCCCAGCTCTATGCCCCCAGGCCAGGTCCCTGCTCCCCAACAAATGCTCATAGAACCTGGCCCATTCTACAAGGGGATGAGGGCCCCTGAGGCTCTTCCACTCCCCCATGCTCAAACTCCAGGCCCCACTGCCTCCAGAGCCCAGACAGGGGGTAGGGGAGCCATAAGGGATGAGTCCCTCACACAGACAGAGATGGCGGCCAACCAGGCAGGGTGGCAGGTGGGCGGGAAGCCCAGCGATGACTAAGCACACCCCCACCCCGCCCTGTGGCCATCAGAGGGACAATCCATTACTCAGGCTGCCCAGACAGGGGGCGGCAGCACGGGCCGGCTCCCAGGAAGGCGGCGGCGGACTGAGCCTCCAGACGGCCACCATCACTGACCCCACACGTGAGTCATCAGAGTTGATGCGTCAGGCCCGGGTCAGGGCCCTCCTGAGTGGCCACCCACTACCCGTCCAGGGGCCACACCCGAGGTCTGGGCAGACTTATAAGAGACAGAGCCCCCCACATCCCCATGCTCCTTCTGCCCACGGTTGGCTCCATTCAACCCAAGACTATGCAGGGGAGCTGCTCTGTGGAAAGTCCCCCCACTACCCAGGCCTGAGTCTGTTACCCATGGGGTCACGTGCTTTTAGCTGGCACTCTGCCCAGGCTCCTTCCCTCCCCTCCCTTGTTCTTCTAGGGGTCCCCCTCCCCTCCAGAGTCAAATATTCATTTCAGTATCTGCTTTTGGGGACTTGGCCCATAGCAGGGGGTGGCATGTACAGAACCACAGGGTCATACCAGTGGGGACAGTACTCCTGGGGGAAGGAAGCCTCAAAATGGGACCTGGCTGGTGGAGGGGAGGGGCCCAGGAGAACGAGCACCTGCCAGGTGGGTGGGTGGGTGAATGGGGAAGAAATAAGGCTGCTGGCTACACTCGGCACCTGAGCCTTACAGGAGAGACCAAAAAAGCCAAACCCACTGCCATCCAGTTGATTCGGATTCATAGTAACCCTACAGAGCAGAGCAGAACTGCCCCATAGGGTTCCAAGGCTGTAAATCTTTATGGAAGCATATTGCCTCAGCTTTCTCCTGTGGAGCAGCTGGTGGGTTTGAACCTCTGACCTTCTGGTTAGCAGCTGAATGCTTTAACTATTACACTGCCAGAGAGCTCCTCACAGGAGACACAGAGGTCCTTAAAGTCTCTTCATGGACTGTGGGGGGTCAGGTTAGGAAAGAAAGAACATAATGGGTCGTGTCTTTGGGGTTTACAAGCCCTTCCCCTGGCCACATGCAGCTCAGCACTGAGCCACAGGCCCCGACAGCACCCTCTGACGCTTTGACAGCAAACCCCCTCAC